TACTTATTAATCAAAATAATATGAAGTCCATCTCCACAGCACAAGATGGCAAACTTGTATACAGCTGTGCATTAGGGAAATTCAGAAATGATGTGAAAGATACCACTGATTGCTTCAAACAGTTTTTGCTCACTGACTTGGCTAGTTGCACTCTGACTCCCCTATCAGGGAGCATAAAAGGTTATTGTGTAGAAGTTTATGGGGCAAGAAGGTGGAAGATGATGTCTGACTCAGTGTTTTTATTCAGCTGATGATCTTTATTTCCCCTTCTTGCACTTTTTCTTTGAAGCTGATAGGTGACTGTACTCATTTTGAATTTGTGTTCCTCTGTCTACCCTTGCTAAGAAGCACAATCACTCCCCCTGCCATGGGACTCCAGTTCTGTATTGAAATATTGCTCTAGGATAAGATTAAATATCTATTCTCCCCCTGAGAACTTTCATGAGAGAGGATAGGCTCTGAGTTTACGTGTGATGTGCACAGACAATGTTGTACTAGATTATGGATGGAATATTTATGGGTAGTAGACAAAACTCACAATATACTTTAAAACAATGGCAGAATTATCTTATCCAAAATAGTAAGATGCACTGTAAGTAAGAAGACTTACTTATCTGTAGGTTCACGTATTAAAATAAACTCCTTTTATTTAGTAAAGAATATAGCACATGGAGAATTCTTATTCTCTGTTACAAATGTTACTGGATTAAAGGATGCTTGAATTAAAGGGTGTGCTTAAATATTTTTGCGAATTATGGTCTTGACTTGGTGTGACTGTGAAGTCGTGCCTAAGTAAACTAATAGCAGCGAGTATAAACAGTAAATAATTCAGATTTGTACACAGTTCTTCCCCACAGACACTGAGTGGCTTATGTTCTTTATCTACTTAGTTTCTTGTGTTAAGGTATCAAGCAATTGCTTAACTTCCTTTAACTTATATGGCAAAGCCAATCTTTTTTCACCATGCCTATTGAATTATAAATAATGTTCATCTGAATTATAAAAACAAACCCCCAAAACAAAACCCCAAAGACCCTGAAACCAGAACCTGTTGCAATGTCTTTTGTTGTTCATAATTTTCAGCAAGGTCCCCTATCCATTGCATGCAGAAGTAGTGCAGAACTCCTGTTGCATGTTCAAATTGATTTACAGCTGATCTATTTTGCCAGCAATACCCCTGTTATCATACCTGACAACTGTACCAACATGGCTGATCCAGAGACGTTATTCTGCTGTTACACATTTGTACTGAGTATACAGAATGGTTTTTTATTTTCTTGTCTCACTCTAATCCTCTTCATTTCATGCCATCTGTTGAACAAGAGGGTTTATTCTCCTTCTGCTGTATCTGTATTTAATATAAGCAGAAGATGCTTTAACTGAGGTGTTCTTGAACTATCAGTTATCACAAGTTGTCAAGCATGAAACTTAAACCTTTAAGGCTAGGTATAGAGTGTTTTGTTTCCTAGGAGACAGTAACATCCTTGAGTGGGTCTAAAAAAGCCTTCAGGAGCATCTGATATTTGGCCAATCCAGTACTTTATCTGAATGGCTAGAATATCTCACTTTACCATTTTTTTATCTGAATATCTATGGAGAAGCATTTTGTGATGGTGCATTAAAACCCTTACAATATAAGCAATGTAGAGATGTCAACTCCAAAAACATCATAGTGTTTTAAAGAAAAAATCTAGCCTATTTTCAAAAAATTGCTTACATTGAGTACTGAGTTGAAAATCAGTGTAATAACTCTGTAATCACAAAGATTAGAATGAATTGAACTGTATTAATTAAACAGTGCTGTTAGGGTTCCCACGCAGTGCAGCATTCTGATGGGATTTTTGGGCCCAGGTTGAATATATGTCTCATTCTTGTGCTTTTGGGTTCTTCCCCTCCTTTTCCCCCTCCTTGAAAAATCAAAATGCAAGTAACTGAACTAAAACTTCTGATTGTCCTTGGTTTCTGGGGTTATTTATGCTGCAGTTGTAAATTAGCCTCAGAGAGGGTCAGTATCAGGTCTTAGTGATGGGTTGGTTTATCCGTCACATTTGGGTGAGCCCCTTTTAAACCCAAAAAGGCCAAAAATTCACCATCTGGCTTTTTCACTCTCTCAGTTCCCTTTATAGCCCTGATGCACTTTCTGAATTACTATTTTGCCTTCAGGCAGAACAAATGGTATGGGAGGGCTTATATGTGTCTATTGGTGGGTACAGGATATTAAACTCCTCCATGCTCTTTTTCACCAGAATTTTACTATTCCTGCATTGTGAAGTTTCCCTTTGTCACCCTGGCATTTTAGGTAAACTTTTGGATAGTCCAGCTCCAAACCAGTGTGCAGTGATGGCAATTTCTGTCAGTCATCTAGGAAAGCAAATCAGTGACGGAACAGAGTTTGAATGTGCTTATGATAATTTGTGATGCTGAGGGGACTCATATATGGCAGGTTTTTGCACAAAGGGAACCCTTCAGGCCTACTGATTATCCAAAAGTTGTACTTAATTTTTTTTAATACTTATCTTCTAAGCTCTCTATTTCTTTCCTCCCAAGGTCACTCATAAGAAAGGGTCTCTTTACCTGAGCTCTTTTAGAGAAATTAGCTAACTGCTTTCAGCTGGATCTGATGACCACCTGATCCCCAGCTAATGGGGAGGAGCTGCAGAGTGAGAGAGCAAGCAAGCAAGCTGGGAGAAATATTCAGGGGATTCATAAAAGCTCACAAGCTCTTGTTAATGCTCTACATGTATATTTTAATATAGTGTTAGGAAAGAGTCATGCTTTGCAACTTCTAGTGCACCTCATGGCCCAACTTACTATGTAAGTGCAAAAGCAATTTATAGACTGCAGTTGGTCAAATACTTCTGCAGCACGATGTAAGAAAGTTCAGCCCGTTCCTGAGTTGCTCTAGCTAGCAACTCATTGTATCTACTCTTTGGCTTATGCTAGTGATAGTGAGGAAGAGTGGAAGAGTACTTTATATTCAGTGAGGAAGAGTGGAAGAGTACTTTAAAAGTACGTGTCTTCAGTTTCTTTAGCAGGGGACAATGTGAAGAAACTGTAGTGCTGTAAAAAATATTCATCTCCTGAATAGCCAAATGGACTTCTTTAAGAAAAGCAAGCAAAGAATCCACCTTTCTTCATACAGGGTGAATAGCTGGAATATACAGAAAATTATATTGCGAAAACATTGATTAGCAGTAGTATGTCTTGTCATATAGGTCATTTATTCTGGAATTTCCATCATATTAGTAACTACCTGGATAAATCTCTTATTAAAAGCAAATTAAAATAGTTACTTTGGGTCTACTTAGAATATATGCTGAAAGAGAGGGGCTAAAATTTCTGTGTCCTGGGGGTTGAATTGCATTAGCTTATTGTTACTGTATTATGAAACAGATTTTATATAATTGTACTACTGAATTTTGAGTAGTACTCTGACTCATCAGCTGCTCCTTTAATATTATAGTTCCTCCCCATATTTAGTATGAAATCATAAAGGCTCACACAGAAGCTTAGTCTCAGATTTTGTATTATGTTAGTGTTACATGCATTTGGCAATGTTTGAAAATAAAAATTACAAGATACCTGTTAGTAATGAAATACCATACACAGTTTTTCACAAAAAACTTTTTTCCTTTGTGAGTAACATTATTTTCATTAAGAATTCAAATGAAATTGTAATTATATGCACAGAGTTTGGAATAAAAAAAAATTATTATTTTATCTGCAAAAGAATTCTAAAATTGAGTAACTATAGCATCTTTAATTGCATATTCTATGTTTTTAATGTTTTGTGCGCATGCAATATGAAGTAGAGCATTGACAGAGGCTCATAGGCTTTAAGGATACTGGATGTTTCTCTCAGCTTGTAGTTGCTTTCCTCTTCATCCTCTCCTGCAGCTGCTCCTGATTAGCTGAGTATCAGGTGGCCTTGGTCACTTATCAAATCCAGCTGGGAAGTTGATTAATTTCTCTAAAAGAGCTCAGGTAAAAGGAGATATTTTCTTATGAGTGGGCCTGGAGGGAGAGGGATAGAGAGGTTATAAGCTGATCAATTAGCTGTAGAGGAAAATGTATCTTCTGGAGAGCCTGAGTAGGCATGAAGGGCTTAGAAACTCTGATGAGTTCATCCTTTGCAAGAATGAGAAGAATAAAGATAGTTGAGATGAAGTGAAGGCTTTTATGTTCTGATTTTCTTTGAAGTGTTTTTGTTTGTTCTCTGTGCTCTGACTGGAAGAGATAGAGGTATAGTTGCCTGAGGTAGGTACTAAGCTAAGCCAAGTGACTGATGATGAGAACTAACTTGGGAGTAAAAAGCTGGAACAGAAAGTCTGTGCTTTGCCAGGGAACGAGCAGATGGTTTCTTTAGGGAACCAAAGTGACCAGTTTCTGAAACCAAATCAGCAGTGCTGAGATATTAGAAGCACTGAGTACATCTGCCTGGTCCCTTGGAGTGCAAGGGTGTTTAAGGAGCCCAGAACAAAACATTTGGTTTCCTTACCACTTGTTCTGGAAAGTTAGACACTCTAAACTTTTTCAATGCTAAAGTTGGCTTTGGAAAAAGGCGGGGGGGGGGGCTCTGACTGCTAAAATGTAAAGTAACTGAGTAATCAGGTTCCTCATATCAATCAAAAGGAGTATTGCTGGAACTGATCCATTTGTTCATAACTGCTATGAAAGCTTGATTCTGATACAAAAAGGTCTTAGCGTAATTTACAATTCAATTTTTTATGTATAAAATGGCTTTAAGCTGATTGTGTCTCTGGAAAGAAGGAAAGCTAGATGAATGGGTGAATTCAGAGGGCCTTCCGAGTCCTGTTATTTGTACCTACTTTGTATTTTTGTATTGGAAATAATAGGAATGTCGCTAAGGATTGCAAGAAGTTCCTTAGAGATGTTCCAGACACAGTGTACTAATTGAAGTTCAGTCTAACTTATTTTTGTCTTTGTAGTCCATTTTGTACTGTCAGTTTGAGGCAAATAATTGTTTTGTTTCATTGTAGGGAAAGGTGAACACGGAAAACCATACCCTCTTACAGAGGAAGACCATGATGATTCTGCTTATAGAGAAAATGGCTTCAACATATTTGTTAGCAACAATATAGCACTGGAACGATCCCTGCCAGACATCCGACATCCCAAGTACGTAAATTGTTTCCTGGACTATTTGATTTTAAGTTTTTGTCTTTGTATATCTCTAAATAACCTGTTTTCCCGGAAGGTCAAACATGAACTCTCAGTCAACAAAACGTGACTATTTCATTAAATAGGAAGTGGAAAATTTATCACTGTTGTTGAATCATTTGCTTTATCTGTCTTCTAAACTGACCTCTGATCTTATTAGTAACACATTAAGACTACAGAAGACCTCTTTTAATTGCAAAATTATTTTCGTGGCATTTCTGGGTAGTGATTTGTTAGACAGTGATAAATAACATTTCACATAGGTTTTCAGGTTCTCATTTGGTAATAGCTGCAGATCTTTGGCCTGGGGGGCAGGGTGACAAGTTGCCTAAAATTTTTGGCTAAACATTTGGACCAATGTTTTCCAAAATGTTTCTTTTGGGTTTTGTTACATAAAAAGTGAAAGCAGTCCAATAGCTACAGCTTACAGGTGCTGATACTACGGCTGATTTACGCAGTATAGAATTAAGTAAAAACAGAATGAGCAAAGATGAAATGCATATGAAGAATTTGGGGGGTTGGATGATGGTATTGTTCCTTAGTAGCAGTAATATCCTACAGAGAAATAGCATAAAAATTATTCTGGAAAATAACCACTAAGCTAAAAATGGTCATGCAGTTCTCGGTGAACATAACTTTCTTTTCATGTTCTGTAATTTTGGGCTCCCTTACACAAAGAGTAAAGCTTTCTATCTGTAACAGGAAAGGGCATGTATGCCTTTCTAGGCTTCAGGCTTTAGTCCTCTAGAGTCATTCTGAGCTCTGAAGGTAGGGATGATTTATTTGTCTCTTTATGTGGTGATTTTCCCTCTCTTAATTGGGTGTTATGCAAGTAGTGCATGGGGGAAAGGTACAGGAGTGTGACAAAACTACTTGTGTCCATGACTAGGTTTGTATTTTTCTTTGGGTATAACTCCCTTTATTATACGATGTTTCAGGTTAAGATACCTCCTCACTTCTTAACCTATACAATTTTGCTGTGTGAATTAGTTTGAAATGCTTCAGGGAACTGAACAGAACTTGAGAGCTTGACAGAAGTTCTTGTGGGTGGGGAGGTGAAGAGAAATATCATGGTAATTAACACTTCTTGTTCCATCAAATGTGGAACTGTCCTTTTCAAAGAATGAACGGTATATAAATGTTTGCAAAGTAAGATTTAAAAAAAAATAATTAACAGTGGAGGAATTAACAAAAAAAAAATTTTTTTTTAAAAATCTTTTGTTGAAGGCATTTCTTATTGAATTGCCATGTTGGATTGTTTTGAGAAAGCACTGTTTATCTGCTAATTTGTGTGTATCAGTATTGTTTGCATAGAATTAAGTCAAAAGAAAGAACTTTTTTAAACAACCTGTATGTTTTATATACTTGGTTTGCCTTCTAATTTGCCAAGTTACCTGAAATTATTCATAGCAAGAGCATTTGCAAGAAGTTTGAGTTCTAATGTACAGCTGTACACCGTCAAAGCTGTGTTAAATTACACTGTTGGCATAATAAATAGGCTTATCAAGCATCCTTCTCTATTAGCAAAACTGCAGAGGACAATTACTAAATACAAAAGGAAGCTGACATGTTTATCGTCCCTTCGTGTTTTTTGTAGCTTGGTCTTCTGGCAACTTTTTTCTCACCCACTACTGTCCGCACAGTCAATGACGTTTCCATGCATGTCCCCAGAAGCAATGTGAGCGATGTGTTGTCAGAAGTGACATATTAAGAACAAATCAGTGCTACACCAGCCTTTCCCTGCCCCCCTTCCCCCTGCACAAGTCCTTTAGTGACTTTCATCTAAGTGTCTCGTTTAGGAAGCTTGTGTCCTTAGGTATCTGCATAATTTTCATGTTCCCATTCAGCTGAGTTTCTAGGGCGTTCAGTGAAGTCTTCTATGGTGGATGTTTTGGTAGTGTCCCGAGTAAACTGATTTGGGTAATGTCCTTCTAACCATCCTTACGTTAAGCTCTCGTAACACAAGTAGTCCATTAGTTAATTGACTGTATCACATTATCTAAATGTAAGATAAAAAATGTTCTTGTGCTAACTTTATGTACTAAGTAGTACACTGATTAAGGTGACAAAGCTGGGCCCTATACTTTTGATGGTTACACCCTGAAGCAAGTCTATGTCTAGAACTTCCAAGACATGCAGAAGTCTGACAATGCTTTCTGACCTACTGGCAGAAACAAACCTGTCTCTCAGCTGCTGTGTGTTAAATATGATGCAGGCCAGTCTCAGACTGCACTTCACTTTTGGAAATGTGTCCTCTCTTCAGAAGCATGTGTGAAATGTGAAATAGTTCATACCTCTTAAGGCTGCTTTCAGAGAAACTCATTGGAAAACCATATAACTTGTACACCAGGAAGGGGTGTTCTTACTGAAATTCGAGTAGGTAATTCAGGTGAGGTATAGCAGGCAAGATCTAGTTTGGTCAGCTTCTGAGTGTTATAAAGGGCTTTTACTTTGTGGAGTTTCTAACTACCCTTCAGCTTTTAACTATCTTCTTTTGCACGTTTGTGGGGGATACTATTATTACAGACTTTGAGTTTTTGATCTTCTGTCTCTAGTGTATACCACTTGCACAGGGGCTTGTCTGTGCTGAAGACTTAATTTCCTGAAAACCTTGTTGTTATGGGTTTGTGTGGCATAGGGTTTTTGGTAGCAGGGGAGGGGGCCGCAGGGGTGGCTCCTGTGAGAAGCTGCTGGAAGCTTCCCTGGCTCCAAGTCGAACCCACCTCTGGCCCAGGCCGAGCCCATCAGTGACAGTGGTAGTGCCTCTGGGAGAACAGACGTAAGAAGGGGAACAGGTAGTGAGTGGGGGGATTGGAACGTGAGAGGAACCCACCTGCGGACACCGAGGTCAGTGAGGAAGGAGGGGAGGAGGTGTGCCGGAGGAGGGGCTGCCCCTGCAGCCCGTGGTGAGACGGCAGGCTGTGTCCCCCAGCCCAGGGAGGGGAGCGGGGGAGCAGATGCCCACCTGCAGCCCGGGGAGGACCCCACGCCAGAGCAGGGGGATGACCCCGAAGATGGCCATGACTCCATGGCAAAGCCCACGCTGGAGCAGTTGGTGACTGAAGATCGGTCCACAGAAAGAACCCACGCCAGTGAATTTCATGAGGAACTGCAGCCCACGGAAAGGACTCACATTGGAGAAGTTGGTGAAGGACTGTCTCCGGTGGGAGGGACCCCACGGTGGAGCAGGGGACGAGTGAGGAGTCCTGTCCCCAAGGAGGAAGGAGCGGCAGAGACCCGGTGTGGGGAGCTGACCCCAACCCACATCCCCTGTTGCCCTGCGCTGCTGGGGGGAGGAGGGAGAGAGAACCGGGAGCGGGGTTGAGGCGGGAAGGAGGGAGGGGTGGGGGGAAGGTGTTCTGAGGTTTGGGTTTACTTCCCATTATCCTTGGTTTGATTTGATTGGTAGTAAATTAAATTGATTTTGTTTCTTCCCCAAGTTGAGCCTGTCTTTTGCCCATGACAAGTGGTGAGTGATCCCTCCCAGTCCTTATCTCGACCCACAAGCCTGCCTTCATATTTTCTCCTCATCCCACCATGGCCGGGGGGGGAGCGAGCGAGCAGCTGTGTGGTGCTTTGTTACCAGCTGGGCTGAAACCATGACACTTGCCTAGGATTTGTTTTAAAGAACCAAATAGAATGGTTTTATTGCCATCAGTAGAAAAAATTCACAAAACAATTCTGCAAATACAACAAAAACTGAGTGGTGAATCCTGTAATTTAGGTCAAAAGTTATTTAAATTGAAAGAGCAGCTACAGTAGTTTCTACATTTTTCTGAAATAACTTCACTGAAAATAATTTATTCCAGAGTCTTAGACCAAAGAAATTTCAAGTCCCACTTCTAAGTGTTTGGTTTTCTGGGAAGTATGCAAATAGAGCAGATAACCAAAACTTGCTCCTTTTAATCCAAATGAACTTTCTCTTTCTTGGTCTCTTTGGAAATTGGGCTCAGGATTTGCAAAATACATCTTCTGGGAGCGGGATGGATGGAACTAAACAAATGCTTAGATGATTGAGCTCTGAGAAATTCAGGTTCTCAATTTATTTTTTTTTAAATATTCTTGTTTTTTTCTTTTAAGTATGATATATTTAAAGCAATTCAGCAAGATGTAATCAGATTAATGTTTCTTTCCTTTTTAGGAGAAGAAAATGTGTGTGCTGGAAAAATCCCTAGAGAAATGAAACAGTTAAATTCCATTTTAAGGCTGACATAACAGCTTCCCTGTGTCCTTACTATGTTTCTATTGCAGGCCTCTAATATCTCCCATGTTTTTTTCTGTCTCTCACAGCTACACTTGAAGAATATTTTTTCCATTTCTGAGTGGTCTTTGATGTCTTGTTTGTGTCCCACTCTCATGTAAAAGTCTTCTCACAGTGGGTGCTCTCAACAAGTTACATTAGCTAATTCTCTGTTCTTTGTCCAGGATCAGCCCCAGCTTTAAGTTAAAAAACCAAACTTTTTTTTTTTTTTTCTTTAATTCCAAATAAAAATCTGAAACGGGATTATCATCTAGGTTCACTGGGTTTCAGGACTGCTTTAGTGAAAGTAGGAGTTCTTGTCACCTGAAGTGGAAGGCAACATTATGAGTTTTGGGTAGCGTTAAGGGAGAAGGAACTGCTGCCTGAGTGTTCACGCACTGATCAAGGAGTTGCACATGCCCCAACCGAGACTTCAGTTGCAATGACTGGAGTCCCTTTGCAGTGGGCGACTCCAGTGAGCCGATGGGTGCCCCTTTTGACTCCTCACACACACGCTCGCCCTCAGGCACTTATTCTTCCCTCAGGCTTGACCCTAGGTTCCCTGAAGCACAATCTCTAATCAAGACCTTCAATATAAAAAACGTAATTCATTCTATCTTTGAGCTGGGTGCCTCTGGAGGGGAAGCCCTAACGCTAAAATCCCTGGGCAATTAGACCCTTGCAATCTAAGTTCTGACCCCTCAAATCATAGTCTGTC